GTTTTGGTGCCCTTTCCTGGAGAAGCCGAAAGGAACGGGCTCACCGTTCCTGGCGGTGAGTACCTACGCGCATCGCCCTACGTCTCTGCGTAGCTGCTGGGTTTAAAAGGCGAAAGGTAGGCAAAGTTATTAACCACGCGCCGTTACACCAATTCCCCCCCACACTCTTTTTTTTTTCAATTTCCCCCAGACCGAAACCCTCCCACACACTGACAGTAAGGGTATGTTACTGCACTCTCAGTACCAGGTACCTCCGTTAGAGAGCGAGCGCTGTGGGAGCCAAATGAGGTGTCCTGGATTCCTGTAAGCACTAGACGAAGCAACCCCCAAAGCCACCTTATCCACCTGCAGCCTTCTCCTGCTCACCTCCTTTGATGCACGAGGAATTTGGGCGGTGGTTAGCAGCTCGGGGGGTGGGAGCCAGCGCTATCTTGCTTTCCCTGCGCTTCTTGCCCACCCAGCGCATCTGCTTTTCCTCGTCTCGCGTGCAGCGTGCGCTGAGCCAGGACGGGGTTTGTACGTGTCTGTGCAGCGCCTTGCACGAGGGGAACTCCCCGCGCTAGCTGCTAATAACTTCACGTCTGGCTCCTCGCACTGCCAGGCGGGCAACGCTTTCCATGCCTCTCTCACCGAGGAGAGTCGTTCGGGCTGAGTAATGCCACCCTAAGCGTGCGCCCGGGAGCGTGTGGCTTCGGCAGAAAGCATCCAGCGTCCGTTGAGGCGAAGCTGCAAGAAGGACGACGTTGCCTTCGGTCAAATGAACGGCGTGGAAGGTGGCCCGGCACCTGGCAAAGCGGCGAATGCGAGAGAGAGAAATACAGTTTCTGAAGCAAAGTATAACGAACTGCTGGCAGGGATTTCTCACCTACATAAAACCATCCTTGTGTTCTGCTCAAACAACAGACGAGGGAAGACTGCTCAGAGAGCGCGTGTTCGTTTATAAACTGCCCAAGGATGCGCTCTCATGCCGTGCCCGCTGCAAGAGAGAGCAGCCTCCTCCCCGGAGTGAAACACTTCGACTGAAGTCAGTGTGCATAACCGGCGGGAAAGACCCGACGGAGAGGAGGAGACGGGGTATTACGGAAGGTGCAGCTAGAATAAGTTTGTGTATGTGATTTTTTTTGTGTTTGTGTGTGTGTTTTCTTATTCTTTACTAGGAAGCCCCAAATGGTTTTCTAATTACAAGCCTAAGGAGTTTACACTGCAAAGCACACGGCTGCAGGGCATCTAGTTTTCTTCTCGGCTCCCTATCGGGTACTTTGCATTTTGTGAATGGGAGGGAGAAAAATTGACAAAAGGAATTTAAGGAGAAAAGAGAGAACAGGCTGTAATGCGCACTTAAAAGCCTCTGTGAAGGGGGCCGCGCCCAGCTGCCAGTTACCTTCCTCCGACGGGTATGGCGAGAGCTGGAGGTTGACGGTTCCCTATCGATTCCCATGCAAAAATCATTAGCTGTTTGGTTGTTTTCCTGGCCACGTTTGTGACAGGGGAAGAAAAAAATCGCCAGCTGCACGAGCGCACAGACCACCGGCGAAAACAAACAAAAAAACCCCCTATTCTAACGCCCCCAGTTGCAGTCAGCATATACATCGATCCGCTCCGGGCAGCGGCGAGGCAGGCAGAAGACGCCAGAGGCTTATCTTCCTGCTTGCAGTGAGGGGAAAAAATAAGTCAGCGCTGGTTAGTCACATGTTAGAGAAATACTAGCCCCGGCAACCGGCTCATTTGCCTACATCTCGATTTACTCATCACAACGGCGTAGCTCGCCTAGCAGCGCACTGATTTATCACGGTCGGAGATGCTTCAATTCACCAGTAGTGTTTTAAGTGTAGAAGAGCCTGGAAGAAAACGTGTTTACACAAGTAGCATCAATATCATCCAAATGTGTCATCCTCCCCCGCCCCTGCACCGCTGTCACCAGCCTCGTATCCCCTGGCCGTTCAGAGAGTGGAGGTTTTCTCAGCTTTCCTGGGATAACAAGCCTCACCGCCAATTCGTTCGATGTCTTGCTGACTCTTCATGTGGATGCTGCTGCAGTTCAGCTCGACCCTCTTCACCTTCGGGTCCGCAACAACTGTAACCCTGCTGCAGTTAGGATGCTGTTTCCCCATCAAAAGACTTACCCAACACTATGAATTCAATAAATGTCAAGTTCGCAAATACTACAAAAAGACAAAAATTAACCAAGCACTGTGACTTCTCATTTGCTAATAAAAGTAGTTATATACAGTCGAGATCTGATCTTGCAATGTGCAACCTTGAATGGGAATTAAAGGCAGTCAGACACGGCAGAAACAGTCCTTTAATGAAGCATGTGTAATGAGCTTCCTGGAAGTAGCGTTAAGATTTTCACTGCTGGTTTAATGCACGTGTAACAGGCTTTTCAGAGCATAATATACAGTGATGCAAAAGCAATGTCAGGCTAACATGTCAAGGTACAAAAGTCAAGATATACAATTACAAGGCAACTTAAAGGTCCTCATTTAGCTAAACTGTCAAAAAAAACCAGAAAGATTTCTCTTTAATGATAAAACAAACAAACAAACAAAAAACCCCTAAAAACCACCCATAAAAGTCAACTGCCAGCCCAGGTTGTATAAAGACTTTTTAATTAAGTCTTCAAGCTCTGCCTAGAATGCTTTAGCTTCTGATCAGCGTGAACTTAAAGCAAGACGAATAAATAGTCCAAACCAGAGCTACACGTTTGTGGTACCAGCTCAGTTAGTGTAAATGGCCTGTGGCAGGCTAGAATTATAAAAATGTACAGAAATTCCAGGTGTCATAGGGTGAGCGAATATATTAACGCCTATAACTACCCAAAAATCATTTTTTCAGCACACATTTGTGATTCATAAAATGTGGAACTATAATGAATTTCAAATGCCACATAAGTGCTCAAATATAAGGTTTTCCTTTGTGCTTTCATAATATTTTAACAATATATGGCTGGGTTGCATAAAGTTTGCATTTAACTTAAGAAGGTGTAATAATAACTCAGGCTTTTAACCAAGATTACTGAACTGAAAATGAAGAGTCTATTTTCAACTTTTTTCTCGTGAGAAGCTAGCTTAATTTAGTCCACGGGCAGGGTCTGCAAAAGTAAGCTGCAATACGTTAGCACTGTTCTAGTAAGGGTAAATTGTTACATTTTTTTTCTTTATGAACAAAGTTAGTGCAAAGAAAATAACATGAAATCTTCTGAATGGGGAACCACTTTGGGGTGATAAACTTCACCTGAAAAATGCCTATGTATGTGCACTAAGTACCAAAAAAAAAAAAAAAGCCCATTCCCCAGTATTTCAGATGTGGGAATACTCAGTAAGATTTTTTTAAATGTTTCCTTCAAACTTATCAAACTTTTCTATGAAACACAACTGATTCTGCTAGAGCGCAGCCTCCGCTCCTGCAGCATCGCTCTTGCGGGCAGCGTCACTCAACTCAGGAGCTCGCGATGTGCCCCGCGCCCAGCCTCTTCGCTCACTGCACTCCCTGCGATTCCATACAGCTCCTTTCCACAAAAGGCCAACGACTTCCCTGCTTGCGGTAGGTTTTGGAAGATAACTCCATCATTACGAAGATCTCGCCTCTCCTCCCTTCCCCCCAACCACAGCATTTGAATTTTTGACTAAGACAGATAGGAAAACATTTCAGGACAAACTGCTTCACAGGTTTAGTCTAAAAGATACTGAACAGATCAATTCTCACCGTTTTCATGCGTTAGGTAGGTATTTTTATGCCACCTCTGACAGAATCTCTACGCACCACAGATTTCTTTTAAAAACACTTTTGCGCAGTAGGAACTATTATGGGCAGGGAAACAGTGCTTCTGGAGATCACATCTTAAGTTCAACCAGACCTAATGAAAGTATGAATGGATGTAATAATTCTGAAGTTCATTTAAGTTTTTCTACGTTGCTTTTGTTCTTTGTTGGAGGTGTACCATACATATTCCAAAACAAAGTCCCAGGGCCAGTACATGTTCTTGAGAAAGCATACACACACACACCATTTAGGACACAGAGAAATAAATTCAGTCTTTGTAGTGCATTTAAAGCAGCTCCTTGGAACATTAATTGTAGAATATTAACTATGGTTTAATTATGACCAAATAGATCTTCTGCTGATTGTGGTTATCTAATATAAATTGTGTTGTGTAAACTGTTTTTATTTTAGGTCTGCCACTAATGACTACAGTAGCAATTGAACATACTGTAGACGGACAACGATGCGCAGCAACTGAAAATCAGAAATATGACTACACTTTGAAACCAGAAGCACAATTCAAAGTAGGCTGGCAGAAACTTAATTATGTATTAAGCCTCAAACAGCATCAAATCCTAGCGCGTAACAGAAGAATCCAGGCGCAGAAGTACACAAACCGGGCAAGCTAAGGGACTGAAAACCACGGCTGAAGGGCAAGGTGTGGGACCAGCTGCCCCGTTCAGAATTAAACTCAAGGCGAACAGAGATGTTCATGAAACAAAAGCAAATGATTACTTACAAAATGGGTGGGTGGGGGTGTGTGTGATTTCCCCCACGTGTACACATTTAGTTAACGTATTATCTTCACTCTTAATTTTTGCCAACACAGAACAAACAACAGCGCTTACATAGCATTTTCTCTGAAATAGGGTTCGGTTATCGAACGTTAAGTATTTTGGCATTTTTTCCCCTCAGCACTTTATTGTCTCTCCCATAGATAGCATAATGTTAACCAAAAGGCCTATGGAGATAAAAGCGGAGAGTCTGCCTTCACTGATAGAAACATTTACAAAAAAATATTAGTGAGAACAAAATTCAAAGAGGACTTTAATATATGGAATGATTGGCATAGATGTATGGGGCTTATTTTAAAGAGACAGCCTTTATTTAAAGTACTTTGTTTTGTAGATCTTATAAAGTAAACATTACAATACTTTTTCACAAATATATTAAAATTGTTTAGATTTAAAAGGCAATTCCACTGGCTGATGAATATTTTTAAAGAAAAAAAAATCTAACAGAAACGGGCAGCTCAACTAAAACTAGATTTTTAAACATTCTGTTTTGTCATTCCATCTCCTTATAGCTCAAAAAGTGACATTTTTCACCCAGACTTCTTTTACAGCAATAAGGCAACTCCAGGAGATTTGGATGAGCTCCTCAGAGATTACAGATACTGTAACTGGCTGCTCTTCATGCTATATAACACCCAAAGGTGCAACTATTCAATAGTCACAACCACACTTGTGCATTAAAATATAAAACTTAAATTACAGATTTTAAAAATATTACTAATAGACTTCCCTATCATAAAATGTTTTACATTTACAGTACTTGAACTATTTCAGTTCTGGGTTGATGAGGTTTAAGCAATTTACCACTGCAAGAGTTAGACTCTGGAGCTCACAAACAGCACAACCCAACCAGGGGCAGCAATAGTCGGTAGAGTCATAGTGCAAATCAAAATAAGGAGTGCAGAATTGCACTAGTTGTTTACATTTCTAAAATATAAATGAACAAGACAAGATTCTTATATTGTACATGCAATAAGTTATAGTAAGTATATGACAATGGGGCTGGGGCATTCTACAATTTTAGCTGGTGTACCAGAGTTGAAGCCTGTGAAAGATAGGACTCAGTAAACAAAACAATTCAAAGCTCTGTTGTCACAGCACTTGAAGCTTTCATGCTTTGTATTTCTGTTTCCCCGTCTCGCTGATCACACAGATATGCTGAAACAAAATAAAATAAAAAGCTCCTGTTAGAAAAGTAATGTCTATGAATAAGAGAATGATATTTTACATTTATTCAGTAATGCACTTAAAAAAAAAGAAAAGAAAAGAAAAGAAAAGAAAAGAAAAGAAAAGAAAGTGTGCTTATACATTTCAGCACTAAATATAATGATCTTGTGTTATTGTTCATGAAAAACAATTTAAGTCTTTTGTTGGTCAAAAATCTGAACGTTGCCTTCTTTCTCTTCCCTCTTAACTATCTCACCCAGTGTCTGCCACAGGCTTTGAGAGACCCAGATGAAAAAATGAATGACTTGGAATAAAAAGTGGACCCTTCTTGAACTCGCAAGGCCTCTCTCCTCTAACCCGCATATATAATTAAGCAAATGCACTTCTTTGTTGTAGACACCTGGTAAGATGAGAAACTTTACACAAATTGTCACATTATTTCAAACAAGTTGATAGGAGATGTGCAGCCTCTATTCTCTACGAAGCTGAAAACAGAATAAACGTTAGTTTCTTAAGAGCTCTAAAACGCTGTCCTGGTGCTCCAGGGTTTGCTCTAATCGTTGCATCGCACAATTTGCACATGAGGCATCATTTACACTGAGCAGGGAGTGTGGCTTGAAGACACTTCTCTCCCTTCCTCCTCCCTAGTTTTAAATGGACAAAAACATTACTTACGTTCAAATCTCTAAAGTACTCATTGTAATCTAGGGCGTATCCCACAACAAATTTGTCTGGCACTTCAAATCCAACAACTGAAAAAGACCATAAGTCACCAGTACGTTAGAAAAAACTTCCTGAAGTTCATTAAGCCTTTTTAAGAGACACAATCTGGAATTTTATAAAGAAATAAGTATCCTAACTCTTTTTTTTTGGTTCCACTCAAGTATTCTAAGATTAATATTCAAGCTATTTTAAAAATTTAATTTACTTCCTTGATTTCATTCATTCACTAAACCAAAATTAAGTAGATTTATTCACTGGCTCCCAAGCAGCAGCACGGCGCTGGCACGCAGTCTGCGAGAAGCAAACAAAAACATGCAATCTGCAGACAAGCCGTTCTCACCAGAATGTGAAATCCTTTTCAATTTTTCTGCAAATTGGTAAATATATAAGAGAGAGCCAATACTTCCCAACACTTCCTGGATCTTCGAAACGCCCGTGCACAAGCAGTGGAACTGGTGCGCACAGCACCAATTACCCTTGCAGGATCATTCAAAAGGCAGCACTTTGGGGAGTGAGGCCTAACCTCGGGTACCCTTACAGCGTGCTCTACCCAAGGGCATAACAGGAAGGCGCGGTTCAGCCATCAGTTCCTTCACCACTACAAGTACGCAAGTCCAATAGGACACCCTGCAAAGAGCTAAGGGTGAGAACGGAATAATGCGAACGTCATAAAGAACCACGGTTACTGCAGGGAAACCGCTCTCTCATCTCTGAGTCACCGTCCGAACGGACTCTGCTTTTGTGGCTCACAGGCAGGGACCAGAAATGTAAGAACGCGCTATGGCTGCGGGACAGCTCTGCTGCCTTGGAGGCTGCTCCCTCGATACAGAAAACAGCAAAGCGCAAAGGGCCCCCTGCTCTTTATGGAGTCACTTGCAGGCTACAGAAACAGGTTTTTTCCCCCCAAAGCAGCTGCCTAAAAAGGACATGGTAGCCAGTCCGCAGATCGTCTAAATGGGTATGACTCTAGCAGGACGGTTTGGGGATGGCCAGGCAATATTAGTCTAATCTGTCCACAAACACTATAAAACAACCTACGGAAATTTCCAAACGGCCATTTCCAAACGGCCATTTCCAAACGGCCTCAAGCTAAAAATCAATGACTCCCGACCACATAAAAGCCAGGATGTTTTTCCTCTCCTTGAGTACAATGAGGCTCAGGAAAGAAAAGAGGCAGACAAATCACATAGTTCAGATGAAAGGCTGTGTCCTCTCTTGGAAAAATTAAGGTGATGTTTAGAAGCTACTTTGCTGTCCTGGGCTAGGGGGTAAAAGAGAGGCCCAGCCACATATGCCTCATTGTCTCCTGCTTTTGGAGATCACGTGTTCTGTCCTAAACAGGTTGCCGCTGCGGGCAGACGGCAAAACAAACCATCTGCTTTGAAGGGCTCAAAAGGCAGACCCGTTAACCCTGCTAAGCCTATAATACGATCTCAAGAAAAAGGGGCATCCTTAATTGAGCGGAGCACCTCAAATTAAGCTTTTCAGGCATCTAGAAATTTAAGTTTAAGAATATTGTACAACCTCAGAAAGGGGAGGAAGAGGATGTGATTCTGTTGCTAAATTCACTCCGCTTCCTCACTGAAAGCGCACACTCTAGGTTAACAGGAATTCAGGTCTCTGAGAAAGGCACAAATCACAGAGCTCTGGCCAAGCCACGACCGGCTGTCGCTCTGCTACAACTGCCTGCTCTGCGTGCTATCCCCTTCTTTGAAGTCTTGGGACAGAAAGGAGAAGACAAGAAGGGAGTAATTCAGATACTTAAAAACAACTGTTTCAGTGCCATTTTAGATACCCTTTCACTATAAAACCTGTGTCAGACCTGCTACCCCTTCTGTCCATCTTAGACACCTGGGGGCATCCAAATGACATTAGGCAGCTATGTTCAGGAACCTGAATCACTCCCAAAAGTGTCAAACGTGAATTCAGCAAATTCTGCTTACCAAAGCATTTGACTACATGCACGTTGGGAAAATTTCCACCAGAAAAGGGATTAACCTGGACCAAAATATCAAAGTTTCCTTTTCATATAGTAAAATATGTTACAAAAAAAAAAAGGGGGGGTGGGGGAGAGACCAAACCCATATTAATTCTGTCAAAATATATTCCAAATATTTAAATTCCCTAAATAAGGGCAAAAACAATCAAGAATCATTGGTGAAAACTTATTTGGAACATTCCTGGACTTTGACCAAACGCTAACACACGTTTAACATTTAATGATGGTTGTCGAAAAGTCACTTACAGTCTGGTCGATATCCCACACTTCGAGGAGTTCTTTTAACCAATAAACTGTCAAATAAAAACAATATAAAACTGAAATATGTAAAAGCAGCAGGACAAAGATGTAAGACTGTTTTAAAGACAGACAGGCTGAATACGGCCTTCAGTGAGACGGAAGGCATACAACTGAAAGCATAATTATGTACATCTTAGACATACTATTTTATTTCCAGGCCCAGCTGGTCATAATGACAGAATCAAGACTTCTTTAAAACACAGCGTTTACAGCCTAAGAATAACTAACAGGTCTGTGAGAAAGAGCCTAAGAGATACTGCTCTCGATGGACTTCCATCGTGAGAAGTGACTTAATGAGGTTCTATGTGCGTTTAGAAACTTCAGGTACAATCACTTTAGTTTACAGGTGACAACTTGGGTTCTGGCCAGGCCAACAAAGTTCTTTTCATGAGCATGAGTATTATGAAACAGAAGTTCAGCTGGTCAAAGCATCCTCAGCTGTACTTATGCAACATGTCCTCAACCGTTTTTCCACCGGCAGTACTAATTACCCCCCCCATAAATAAAACGTAATCTGTTCTGGGGATGAAGTGACACAAGCATTACACCAGCTCCGCTCTCCCAGAATTAACTGTCGGAGAAGCAGAAAATATGGAAGTGCAGAGTTGGGGGTTCTGTAGTACGGAGAAATGCCTTGCCAGTTTGACTTAACTCTCTCATTCAATCGAGCATTTCTACCTTTTATAAGAGGTCCCCAGGTGCCTGACATTTGCCTTTCTTTAGGGACAGGGAGACTTTGGGAGGAAAAGAAAAGGTGGCTGACGGCTGACTGTAAGGACAGCTTGAGCTGATCCGCATTCTCAGACACCCATCTGTTTCAGGGAAGAAGTCTCCACTGTTTAATCAGTGGGAGGTCACTTGTCAGGTTTACAGTTTCAGTTTTAGACATTCAGAAACTTCTATCAGAAGGACTTAATTTTTGAGTACCTGTGTAGGCTTTGATATAACATACCACAAATCATATTAGCATTAATTGGCATCACCCGGCTACAACTGCATCACTTATCAGAGAGAAAGAAAATTAAGAAAAAAAACAAAAGAGTGAGGCAAGTGAAGTAACTAAGGACATCTTTATACTTCAGACCGTCTACAATGATCACATTTACTTGCTCAGGTCTTTGACAGACCGAAATTACTGCAACAGATTTAAAAAAATAGGAAACTGGACTTTGCTCCTACTGTATTATACTCAGGAGGTACACTGCAATGATAGGGCACTTTTCAATGACAAACATTTAAAATTTGGCAACATTTATCAGGCCAGGGAGAAATCCTAAACGATTTCACCTTCAATAGGTCACCACCAGATTATCAGCAAGAAGAGCTGTTCTAGTACCTCTAACAACTGTTTTGGGATTGTTATGGCAACACAACTGATTAGATATTATACCTCGCTCTGGTTTATCTCTAATCCCCAGCAATCATTACGCTTTTATTGTAAAATACACAACCACAGCAGAGCAGTGTGAAAGATGCAACTTAAAAAGAAGTAGGAGGAATGTTGATATTGGTTAATAATATAAAATTGTCTACATTTCTTGTTAGACGTAAGTTTTTTTAATTAAAAAATGTTCTGAAACTATTTGATTAAAAAATGTAACTAAGTAGAAGAGCCTGGAAGACCATATGGCTGGTGACTCTCACAGTGTGACCTCTAAAGCCCAGCTACACTACGTACACTATGCAAACAGTAACGTCGGAGTACAAGTTAGTTTAATTCTATGATTAAATCCAGCAAGGCAGATCAAGAAAGATCTCCATTGCACAGGTACACGGCTTCGGTAGACAGAAGCGACAAATAAACACATTCAGAGAGATACTACATGTACCTAAAAGACAACCACTGATATTTTTCTTACCCCAGTTGCTAGGAAGAAAGTTTATATTTATGAACTAATTCGGGGAAATTTGAAAAAGCCTCCACTAACTTAAAGTTGTTTATTTTTAAGGCCAAAAAGAAAGAGAGAAAGAGAGAGAGAAAGAGAGAGAGAGATCCCACAAACCTTACCATAACATGATATGCCAACAGATGTACCAGACATGCACAAATTATCCCTTTCTGAACACGGAAATCCTTCCAGCAATATGATTGGAAAGAAGAGAATACTGTTTCTGCCAGCCTAAACGAACACATATTTTCATAACAAGCACACGTGCTTTTGGAGTTCAAACAAAATACTAAACTCCAACAGATCACGTCCTATATGACTCCTACAGAAACGTTCCCTCCCACTTCTGCTCTATGGAAATGTATCCTATACTACTTTTTTTTTTTTTTTAACATTGTGTATCATTGTTAAAGTGAAATATTCGTAATTAAAAGTTTACCTGGCTACTTTCACCATCTTTGGATTGTACTGCTTAAGTAGAGACAGCAATGTTTTCATTGTTTTACCAGTATCAATTATATCCTGAAAATAAAAATCTCACGTAAGAAAGGATATTAAACCTGTCAGAGTAGCATTTTCAGGTTCTTACCAAACAATCTTTCAACTTTGATAGCAGGAAAAAATGCTAAAATACTGTTCATAATCAAAGACAAGTGAGATATAAAAGACCATTTTGTGCTGATGTGTCTGTGCCCAGCAAAGTGATCAAACACTTTAACAACAGTTTAATTGCTGTGGGTAACAACTGTTTTTGAAAACAGTTACTGAACTATGGCCTTCTCAGCTCCTTGTGGAGATTTTATGGCTTGTGCTGGTGGCAGCTATTAGACAAAAAAAGTTTAATTATAATATTATACACATAACATTAGTCTTGGAGTTGAGTCCAGTCACACAGACAGATGAAAGACAGAAGAAAAAGGAAAGTAAGAAAAGGGAAAATATTTAGAATAATCCATTAATACAACTAAAGAAAAAGCAATATAACATTAATACAACTAAAGAAAAAGCAATATAATTTACATTACGGACCCAAGAAGTAGCCAAAGAAACTGCACTGGCAATAGCTGGGTTCAATTCTAAGATCTATGTTCAAACATAGTAAAATGAAGTTTGACACACCATTTTAGTCTCATCCACTGCACATACAAGCAGGAAAAAAATAATGTACGTGTTAAGACAGAAGCATCAGAATTACTCTGAGTCTCATGTGAACTGAAATAATCACAAGATCATTAGAGGGACAGGCCTCCCTTGCCTGAAATCAAGGCCTTCAATACGTGAAGTGGTGAAGCGGATAACGCTGAAGCAGCAATGCCCTTGCTTCGAGTTAACTTTCCATGACTCACAATTAAAATAAAATAAAATTATTCAACAAAATACCTGTCAGCTCTATCATCTGTAACGCTTAATGCTTCTAATCATGGCTATAAACTCAAGCAAAGATAAAAACAGACAGATATATAAAAAGTAAATTTAGCGTATTAAGAATCGGTTTACATGAAACCAAAATAAAATCTATTCTGGATCTTGGCATTGTTTGATTCTCTGTTTATTGGAGTGGATTTCCATTCACCAGAGATTTTTTGCACATCAAAGGGGTGCTGTAGGGCAAATCCCAGCACTCTGGTGCACAAGATATTAAAGTATAGTAAACATGCATTTTTACTGTTTGACAGTCAAAATGGTGATTTGTAAAAGGGTTCACATTAGACAATGTGTAAGACATGTCACTGACTAGATGATTCACTGAACAGATGAGAAATTAACCTATTTAGCTGCCTGGGACTTTAAAGATATATATTCATCTGAAATGGAGCAGATACATAATTAAATGCATCTGTCTATCTGAAGGAAAATATGCCTCAAAGGACACCAATGGTCACACAGATGACTGCTGTACACATACTATGTTGGTAGGAGTTTTAGAACTGAATGTATTTCCTGGGGAATAGACGTTCTCAAATTAAAAAAGACATGCATAAAAACACTCGTGATGACAAAAGGAAGCATTACTCCCTTTTGCTTGCAGAATCAGCTGCCATAGTTGTTTCTCTGCTTAAGAGCAAAGTCACTTCCATTACTTGAAGCCTTACGACATTATGAAATTGCAAGTCCATTTTTCCTGTCCCCTGCTTCTGCTTCCCTATCCTGAAATCGGCAATCTTACTCAAGAATATCCTTTGAAAAAGTAATACTTACTGAACATGAGCAACACTGTCCATCAAGAGGTATTAAAGCACAAATTAAGCAACAATATCTAGCAGGAAATCAAACTGAGGAGCCCTATACCTGACAACGTCCCAAGAACCACGACAAGCTAGACGAATAGGAATTTAGTGATAGCATAAAGCTAATTAGGAATTAGCATTCTCTATGTAAACAAATTATATGCAGGGACACTGGGCTTAGCTCTGTTTTTCATATATTTTAAGATGCTCCTATTGGGAAGCTCTTTCTACTCTTGCAATTTCCCAGCCTGTTGTTACAAATCCAGAACATAATATGCTTAATTTCACTTTTTTTCTTTTTTTAAGTAGTTTGAACAAAAAAAAGCAACCCCCCCCCACACACAACACGTTAACATCGACATAGTCACAGAAAGCTGAAAGCAAATGCAAAGAGCAAACCATTTTACATTGATTTTTTTTCCCTTGCTACATTTGGTACAGTTGGATGCAATTTGATAATTCAGTTTGGGGTTTTACACGTCCCTAAAAGTAAGAACGCAGATCACTTCAAATTCAGAGCCCACTTGCAATGCCCAGACCTGGAATCAGATTTCAAGGTCTCCAGAAAGCGGAGGTTTTGAACTCTTTCACCAGTCACACATTAAAACCTCAAAGTGAAACATAATACTTACTTCTACAATCAAAACATTCTGGTGGGAAGAAAAAAAAAGATAAGAAAAATCCATTAGCATTTAGAGAATAAGCCATTTCTTAGACACGTTATTTTCTGCAGCTTATTACCTAATTAAACTTGCAATGCAGTTAAACATTTATACCATCATTTACATACGTTCACACATGTAACAGCATATTCTATTTAGTTAACATTTCTAATGCTCTAACAACAATTAGTCGGCAATGACATTCTCCTCAGTACCTCAGGCTGACTACAAATTGGTCTTTAAACTATTCAGACTTGGAGAATTATACATCTATGCAAAAACAGATCACAAAAGAGTTCACACAATTCATACGCTTATAATGCGGCGCCTGTTATTGCAGAGTGTCACACTACAAAGACATGTACAACTCTGCCATAACTACATCTTACATATTGAAATGTGATACATATGCCTTAAAGATTGCTTATGTGTAATTAGGGGAAGAGTAACATGTTCTGACGGAACTGGAGGCATTCATGGTCTAATCGTAGATGTCTCTCTCAACGCTCTCTGCGCGTCCAGTGGAGAAAGGCACAAGGAAACGAAGAGAACGTAAATTGGGAAACTCTCTTCATTGCCTTGTAACAGGAACCTCAGTTCCTGTTACAAAAAGTAGACTTTTGCTATCAGGCAAATATCTAAAAGAAAACTCTTCGGTTTTCGTTTTTTTGAACTCTACATAATCTCCACGTAGTAAAAGAGCAGCCTTAAAACCATACAGGCATTTGCATTCTTTAGGTTTTTTTGGGGGTTATTTTTGTGTTTTTTAAACATGCAAAGAGCCATACCTTTCCGGTCAAGGTTGAAAGGTCATCCCCACCAATGACTTTTATATCTCCAGTTGACTGATCATTCTAATAAAAAGGAAGAGGGGGAGCATTAGCACTAATAGAATTAAAATAACTTTTCTTTCACCGATGATCAAAACTGCAAAGTACATAATCAGTGAACATCACGGAGAAAGAACTTCATGCCTTCAGAAACAAAGGACCAACAAGTATCTCTTTATTAACTAAGAAATTACAAGTAGTCAAGTTCAAAGATGTTATTTTGGATGAAAGATCGTTTGGCAAGAGATCTACATAAAAACAGACATCATCTCTCATCTGTGACCACTGCAGATACACGTATATCTATAAAAAGATATTACGACCTGCCACACATTCACTAAAATAGGGAAATAAGAAAAGCAGCACTTCAGTTTCCAAGCTGCGTGCTCCTATATAGCAGGCAATTTACACTTTAAACTTTAATGCTTTATAAAGCCTTACTCTTTGAGTAAAAATAGGCAATCATAGCAGTAACAAAAATAGACAGCAGACAAGGCACCCGTTAGTAATCAGAAACATAAGCTACAAAATGGCCAGAAAAATTACGGTTTGCCTACCTCACAAACATTAATAACGATCACGCTAGTTATGGTAACTAAACTGCAGCCCAGGCACACAATCCTATCACTACAACACGGCATCTTGCTTCAGTGAAGCTAAACTTTGATACAAACATTTTAAAAAAACTGCTGGGAGTGCCTCCGAGCTAAACCTGTACAGCTAATTTAAAAGCATTGAACTGATTCTAAACCTGGAAGGCGTCTCACAGTTCGTATTAGATGCATTATACTCATTATTATACTACTTCGAGATGAGATGTCATAATCGTACAAGTTAGTTGTTTTAAGCAAAAGTTAATAACACATATAAAACCTTATTCTCTTACCACGTACCTTCCTTTTAGAAAACCTGCATTACTTACTTTGCTGCTGCACCTTGAAGCCCAAGCTCCACGTTGCCTAATTCTGCAGACACGCAGCTAAACAGCAGTGCCTTCCCAAAACCAGAAGCGGTAGATACAATAGAGGGGGACCACAAGGGAACAGAGAGAGAGGCACATGCAACTTCCTGTTTTTACAGCCACATGAAGACAGATAGGTGCACTACACGAGCTGTAGGCAAGAACTAAAAATGCTATCACAAAAAGGGGAAAACAAATGATTTAGAGAGACACTGAGAACACAACAAGGAGTACTGGGATGATATTAAAGAGAAAATTACTAAAATGCTTTGGAGAGTGATGTCTGCATTCTAGGATGCTCTCCATAAAGAGGCACTGACAGCTCTAGGTATAGAAAAGCAGAAGAGAAGACTAACGGATATTTCCCATTTAAGAATTCTATGACACAATAACAATAAAAAAAGATATTATATCTTTTCAGTTTTATCCCATGTATTTTAAAGAAAATAAAGTAGTTCTAGTTATACCACTGCAAAGTCGCACCGAAACGCTCTGCTCCTTTGCTGCAAGGAACATCCATCTTTTATAAATGTTCACTGTTTCAATGCTTCCAAAACTGAGCAAACAGTAACTAAACTCAAGAGCAGCAATGCCACTCTTGAAACAATCCAAAAAAAGGATGTCCAAAATGACTTGTCACTGCTTGACCCAGCAGACACGCAGGCTGCTACTGAATGCTTGAGATATTGGTTAGATTAACCACAAAAAATGTGATTCAGTTAAGCACTGCATTCAAAATGCTAAAGGGCATTTCCTGTGTTCACTCTATCTTAAAATTATCTTAAATGACAGCTTCTTCTTTAAACTGATCCTCATTTATATCACAGGATTCTCTTCTACCTGTTTCTGCACTAACATGGACTTCGTTCTCCTCCATGAAAGGATGCAAAAAGCATCATTCTTTACAAAAGAGCGATGGAGAAAGATTTTACAGATACTTGTTCCTTTAAACTTATGTGCATAGATGGCAGGCTGGCACTCCCAGTACACACATAAAATCAGGTTGTTAATGATCTGCTTGAGCCTAGCGTGTTGCTCTGTAGCCAAACGGGGATACCACAAAATTGTAGATTACTGTAACCCTTTGGCTTATGCATAGTGAAGTATGATGATCAGCAGAGAAGAATAATCTAACCTACAAAGCTTTCCTTCTCCTTCCCACCAACCACCATACAAACTGCTACCCTTTTTAATGCAAAGCATAGATCTTCATTGGCCTGTACTCCTATGCAGGTGCTGAATTCCTGAACAATTAAAGGACAAAAAACAGTTAAAGAATTTCCAACACTGGCTGTAACCAGATTCCCATTGGAAAGAACTTTGTTTAATAATTAAGCAATGTTTTAATTATCTTAAGGAGCATTATTTCTGATTTCGGTACTGGTAGGACCTTAATGCTTCACGCTTTAACACAAAAGAGATTTGCTGTTTAGATTTGTTTTCACGGCCTCCCTGTTGTCATTGCTGAAAAACAGTAACGCTTTGCAAGATGGTAACCCCTGAGAGGTGGCTCAGAGATCGCCTTTTAAAAAAACATTTTAAATTCCTTACAGTATTTGCTGTAATGCATGGCTATCACAAGATCTTTCAGACTACTTGATTGACCAGCCTAGCTAGATTTTACCTCTGAGCAGCAGTACTCCACCAAAAAGCCCTGTTTCCCTGGATGACGGTGCAATACACCCATTGTCTTTTGGCTGCCCTTCCTGACTACACAAGCAACTTTTGCTCTTTTCCAAATTTAAATGCAGAGGTCGGGTGATACGCAGTTCTTCCAGCGTGTACAAAATAAACTGTCCGTCAAGAATACGGAGCTTTGGTTTTTTTCACAATTGCTATCTTTCCATTTCTTCACAGCTTGCAAAATCATTAGAATTCACCTGAATGGGCTCTGAAAGCAAGAGGTATCAGTAAAGCTTACTCGCAGCCTGATCATCTCAGTTGTCTTAGAAGATCATTTTTGGGTGCAGTCACAGTATGAACGTTGCACTCCAACACACAAAGCCCACACATTTGTGAACATTAAATGATAACTTGAAATAAGAATAGAACAGCATTTTCAGAATCATTATAAAAGTTCAGCTGCATTGTTTATGCAACCATGATATTTTTAACCTCTTTCTATCCGGTCTCTAAAGACAGGTAACACGATCTAGTACTTGTATTCAAAGACAATGACGAGAGAGCTAGTTCTGCTTTCAACACTCGTCATGTTTTGTGACAGCGTTCCCATCATTAAAACGTGGATTCCTTCATTTAAAAGAATGCTGAGAATCTCAGATAAAAACTGCAGAGAAGGAAGAAGAGTGCCAACAGTATTAATAATGGAAAACCCGGAAAATCAGTTACACACATGTTCATGTTAGGACAATCTTACCCAGTCCATCATGCTACGTAATCTAAAGAACATAAGTCTGGATACGAATAACCACTAAAGAGCCAACATAAACGGAGTCCTCGTAAATATTGTACTAGCGGAGGCATCAGGTAACAGGAGCTCCTCACTCACCCAGGACAAGAAAACATTCTTTCATATAATTGGCTCACAAAACCAAAAAAACCTGAAACCAACACCTCAAGGAAAACATTCTGCTTACCCAGCTTATTGCCTAAATTTCTCCACGTTTCTCTCTACTTACTTCTTATTACTGTAAAAGTGTTAGGAAAATAGGCTTTTTAATTTCCATAAAACTCACTTTGCTGCTTACCCCTTTGTTAATATCAAGGTACTGTAGTTCTGGAGTGTAATAAACATGAGAAGCAGTAGTAAAGAGATAAACCGAAGAAGCATGCCCACAAAAAGATGAATACAGAAAACATACTATGTAAGGCAGACTTGTTTTTTAACCAAGTAATTTTTCCAAGATCTTCCAAGTGTTTTTTCCAAGTTACTTGGGAGGTGGAGAGAGTGAAAGGATTTTTATGTTGTTTTTTAAATAAGCCAAGTAAGTTAATTGAAAAAGTTCCTGCAAGAAAGCAGAAGATAAGAAGTTTCCTGACCAAAAGATGTGGGAGTCACCATTTCCTATTCTTTAACATACTCTCCTGCAAGAGAGACATTCAGGTTTCTATCTGTGGCTTCAACAGGCAGAATATATGCGTGTGTGGTGGCTTAGCGGTTAAATGGACTAGCAGAAGCAGCAAGAACCCTTTGGGGCGGAGCAGAAGGAAAGCACCTCAAGCAGCTCTTGCCCATTATTTTTAAACATGATGCACGTGTACAGAGAGTGCCTTACGAGATGCAATGAAAGGGTGGCACGTCCCCTTCTGCCCAACCTTGCCTTCCCTTTAGAGAGCGTAGCTGGACCGGCTGCTGCCTCGTGTTCAGCAAACGTGAACACGGTTTCCAGGAAACCCCTGAACGGCCAGCTGTGCGCGCACCTCGGGGAATCAGGACCACTCTCTGTACAAATAGACTGCAGCAAGCCCTACCCAATGTTGAGCTTTGCCATGCTTTAAAGCAAAATTTTAACGCGTCACTCGGCAGCAATACTTGAATTTACAAAGTCCCTCTACAGTCAAAACTAACTCTTGCAAATAAGTTTGTCTTTGCTTTTGTGGTTTAATGAAACGAATGATGAAGTTGGACTTCCAATTTAGTGATCTCCATTTTTTTCCCCACTGGAGTAGGCACTCCTCCACAACTGAGACAAAGGGCTTAAAGTGCTAAGTGGAATATAAAGTTGCTGAGACGCAGAGCTAACAGCATAACCTTGCGAAACAGTTCATTTTAACACTACAAAGTGAAACAAACCAAAAAAAGGTAATTATTTCCATACTACAGATGGATTTATGCCATAAAACTAAAATACCTGCAGATACTACTCTGAATACACACAACTAGGCTCTTGCTAAGTCAGGAAGCGCACAGTGCTTACATACATCTACTCGTTCCTTTAGCCTGCCCAGCATAGCCTCATGCTTCCTTTATGAAGTTACACATTACCTCATGTTACTGAATGCTCCATTTCCCTGTAAAGTCAGACCCTTCTGTTTAGAATGAAAACGAATTATCTCCTGAAAACGTATTGCCAAAGCAACCTACGTCTAGTCTCTACAAGCCAGCGCTGCATTCAGCGGCCGCTAATCATAAATCTAGTTTTATTGGTTTAGTATTTCTTCAAGGCCAAAAACATCTTTCATTTTATTCACTGTTTGGCTGAGCCAAAAAAAAGATGAGGTAGGGAACTCAGGTAGAACTGTTTTTGCAGTTTTCAAGTCTTCCTATCCAATAAATGATGTCTAAGCCATATAAAATCTCCTAGAAATATTTTTTTGCAACAACATTTGCAGGAGAACCCTATGTACTATTCTAGAACAACAATTTTAGACTTTCGGTAGTGTCCGGCGAGGAAATTGCTAAATAAGGAAAGGGCACGGAAAGGATCTCTTTGCTCTGGAAAAGGGTTTTACTGGGCTGAGGGAGAGAACAAGGTTTGAAAGAAAACAGAGAAACAACAAATTAGCTTGTAGGACTACTTTTTCATAATTATCCCTCCCCCATCCTCTTAATTCCCTCAATTATTCATATAACATTAGCACATTTAGGCAGTAACAATACTAGGCCATCTCCTTCAACAACTTCGAGTCAGTCAATTTTATATAAAAATTGCACAGCATTGCAGATATACTTACACAGTAACTCTTCAACCTAATGAAGTCTACGGTCATGGGGATTGATTTGTCACTGTTTCTGTTCAGTGCCTTGATGTAGTCTAATAAATCAGCAAAAAACTTATAGCCACCCTTGAGTACACAGAGAGCTACAATGTGGTGTCCTCCCATGCCCTTCATAATTTCTCGTGCCAGTCTCTCCGTCCTATACAAAAACAAGAAAAAGTCAACTGTCATAACACATTTAATTTGCTTACTACAGCAGCCGTATTTTGTATTGGGAACAATACCAGTAAACATAGGCACCAAGCTCAGAAACACATCTTCCTCTGAAATATTTGCCTACCACTTAGGTCAATTTTACTCATTATTGGTCAACAAAGTTTTGCCTTTCAAGGTTAATCTAACAATAACACTGCCAAACTCCCTTGTTTTCATACATCACATTCAGCCAAAGCAAATCTGAACACCCTGAAGCTGTTTTACTGTCAGATATGTGACGCATAAAGGTGTTTTTTTCCCCTCCAAAAGATAGGTTCAGTTCCAGGCACAGCACAATGTAAACGAATACAACCAACAAGATAGTAGCCCTTAACTAACTGAAAAGCCGCAAGACAATTCTCAAATTCAAAACTAGAGCTCTATGTTTGCCAAGCTAGCATGCCAGAAACTTGTCCTAACTCCAAAATAGGATACCTGCAAAGCAAAGCAAAGCAAAGCAAAGCAAAGCAAGAAAACACTGAACTGTTTTTCTGCAATCGTTGTTTCTAAATTTATCTTGCAATTTATTTTAGAAAGCATGGTATGTATTTACTGTGTATCAGCCAGCAACAGGTTTCTCACAGCAAGCAATTATAAACTTTACATCATGTTATTTAACAACTGTACTTTGTCCATTTTTTTCTATACATGGACAAAGGTTTTACAATATTGATAATAAACATTCTTATAAACTGTTTTTTATTCTCATCAACCAGCACCATGCAAAATCTAGATGCGCGTCCATCTGCAAGATCCCCAGGAAGATCTTAACGGTCCTGTGTCTCCAACAACTCCTCGACTTAATTTGTTTTCACCCTGTCAAGAGGAATTTGGCAACCATCCAACAGAAAGCAAAACAAAAATGTCTTATAGGCTTTTGTGCCCATTTCTGATGACATGAGATGAACCTTTGAGAGCAAATAACAGATTTCAGTGACCAAAGTAGTGACGGACTGGTATTTGCAAAGACTAACGTGTTTCCTAAAAAGCAGGAGAATGTTGGATATTACTTGTCTACCGTACTAATATGAAAAGGTCTAAGATGATGTGCTTAATAATTTACTTTTATTGCTAGCCTAAGGAAATTTAAGACACTGAGATTATTTCTAGACTAAACTAACCCAATAAATAACGTGTTTTAATTAGATTTAAAGATGGCAAAACATCAAAGAAACACTGCAGAGAGAGCCATATATTGCTACATATCACAAAATCTCTCTTGAGAATTATGACAAATTTCCAAACGTTAGTATGACAGCAAATGTACAAACTCTTAGAAGCCATACAAGAAAGAGTTAATTAACACTTGCACGTCTTAGCCTCTAATTAAAAGTAATCCATTCAGACAGTCACCAGGCAGCAAAACTGTCACTGGAAGATTGTTTTTTCCAGTGTCATGGAATCAGCTGGAGCAGAGTACTGTCTGAAGTCAAACAAACCTGTCCATGATGAGCCCATGAGGAATATAGACTTTTTCCAAATCATCTGCATAATGTTTAGGTATGCAGAACAAGTCCAAGTCGTACCCTTGTTCATCATCGCCAATCTGAAAAGGAAATAAGGTGAGATTTCTACAAAGTCTTACAGCAAGTCTGCGGTGAGAAAAACTCTGCAAGTCCTTCGCTCTGCTCAATAAACTATCAAATTCGTTACCCTTGTCTGGATTACCTTACTTTCCCTTTCTATCAAAGCATCAGTCACACTGAACATAGGGTTTACACAGGGTATAAGTAACAAAATCTTATGGGTCGCAAGAGTTGTTTCATATACTACATGGGCTGTTGTCCAGTATAATGTTGGGGGGAAGAACTTATCTGAATTGCTAACAATGTTCTCCCCCTTTGGAGAGCAGGAAATGAAACCACTACCCCTTGATGAATCTCTATTTCATGAGAAATCCAGGAGCTTTTTAACACCGTTGATTCTAGTAAGTGTAATGCAAAACCTGCCTTTGCAGCTAAGCACACAGACCTTTTAACATGGACATCTTCCAAATCTCCACAACACCAAATCACAACAAAACACAGGTGCCAGTTTTCAAGACGAGACAAGACAGCTATATTAACATGACAAGTTATGTTTCTATGAAACAAGCCTTCTCAGATCATGATCTGGAAGCCATGGAAGGTCAAGATCTTTCATAATCAGAAGTTAAAGCCCTACTGCAGCAACCTGTCCTGCATGGGCAAATTCCCTGTATGAAACAGCTTGCAATATTAGCAAGTGCATATTAATTAGGACAAGGGATCGGCATATGTATATAATTACACCAAATACTGCTGAGGTTCAGGGTATATCACAAGGTATATATACCACAGGGTCTATATATGTCACAACAGCATCAAGAATAGGTTTGCCTGCACCGTAACCTAGCTGCAATTTGAAAATTGCAATGGATTTTTTCATTATTTCATTTTTTGGTTACGCAGCTGAACGCCAGTACGTATTAAGATAAGTTAAGACTTGCAGAGGGAAAACTGAAGCTTACTAATGACAATCCTCCAGGGCAGGCATTTTAAGGACCCATTCTGGCTACCGCTGCCCTTGCGGAACACAGTCTCATTTCAGCGCCCAAGGAAGCACTTACCTGGCCTGCGACCAGCCAGCAGTTTATGTGTTTTTCTGTTGTGTAACCTGCAATGAGTATTTCATACGGAAGCTAGAAGCACCCTTCCATCCCAAGCACGTGCTGCGGGACCTGCCCACGCCCCCAGGCCCTGAGCAGGGTCCCTGCAACCCAGGGCAAGCTACGATTTCTGGTAGTAAGGCAGGTCCCTTCCCAAAGGCATGGGATTTTCCTATGGTTCGGCCCCATGTTTATATCAAACGCATCTAATAAGCCTTGCTTGCTGCGTTTGGTAAGGAATGGGCCTTTCCTACAGATTTTGCACACTGATTTTTTTTTAGGGGGGGAGGGAGGACTGCACGCGTTTACAGTCGCCGCTGTACAGTCAGCACAGCTCTAAAGCAGAAGGCACCAACACGTATTTCAAATCACTGCAGCCACTCGTGAACCCCAGGTACCGGCTTAAAAATAATAACAACAAAAATGAACATGTAACATCCTCAGCAGAGTGCATTTATGAGCAAAAAAAAAAAAAAAGGGGGGGAAAAAACCAATTTCCCAGAACGTTCTTCCTCCAAAAATACACCCTAAGCTACTTACACAGCATTCCCGGGTTTTACTCTACAAAGCTGTATCTTCCTTGCACGCTATGAACCCGCAAGGGAAATAAGAAGTTATATCGCGCTGGTTTAACTCCTGACGGGCAGTTACCCCACGCTAATTTGGGAAGCGGCAGCCCC